CTCACAGACCAAAACTTAGTGTCGATTTTGTCGGCATTATAGCAGCCAACAATCACATTCACAACACTCACAATCATGGCGCGGAGAGGGTTTGGAATTTGGAAATGGGAAAATGTTGTGATTCAGCCTCTGATAATCTGATTGTCAATGGACTGGAATGGGTATTTGGGACAAATGGGCCTAATTACCTAAGTCTTACTATTAAAAAAAAGGCCCAAACACAAGAGCCCACTACAAAAAAGGCCCAAGCAAAGCATTCATTTCATCTCCTTCAGAGTTTCATTCATTGCCCTTCATCCATTCACTTTATGCCGATACCGTTCACCATGGACGAAAATTTAAGGTTCCGACAGAAACCAATACGGACGGTTGCGCCTGCTCGCCTAGTGTTGGTTTCGTCCTTGAGTCCAATAACTTTTCATCTTCCCTAACCATGCTCATCCTTCCATCCTAATCGAGATTCTACAACTTCACAACAACTTGGTATAGTGCTAAATGGGTTCGAGGTGGGGTAGGTGTTGACAAGGGTGTCTGGTAGGTGAGGTTAGTTATAGAAGATGAATAAATATAGATGATTGATGTACCAAGTGCTGGCACTTAGCTTATGGTAAGTACTAGTGATTGACACACTAAAATAAGTATAATAACTTTTCAACAATTATCGCTCATCGTCTATTTTAGTATGCCATGTCATCCGAGTGCCTAGCATAAGTAAAACATTGATTCTTAGGAGATCAGTCCCATATGCGTTTTATGTATTATTATTTTTAAATAAAATTTATTTATATTGTTTGAAAAGCTATGAGAATAAATTTATATTTTTTTGTTGTTCTATCTTTTACTTTTATATATTTAAATAGAAGGGCAAATTTGCCATTGTAATCAAAACAGAGAAAATGACAAATTTACTATAAAATTGAAAGGTTGTAATGAAGGATTTTTCTCTGAGCATGGGAACTCATTCCAGAAATGTATAGGGTTTCAAAATTGAATGACGTGGTAGAGTTTATAAAAAGAATAATGTTATTTGTAGTCACTCACTGCGGCAGTCATCCTACGTGACATACACATGGCAAGTGGTTATTTGATGTATTAATGAATAAAAAACTACCACATTAATACATCAAATAATCACCTTTCATGTGTATACCACGTAGGATGACTACCGTAGTGAGCGACTGCAAATAGCATTACTCTTATAAAAAAGAGATTTTGCTTTGAGGACCTCATTACTGAAATGGTACAGGGTTTCAAAATTGAATGACGTGGCAGAGTTTATAAAAAAATGAAAAAGATGATAAAACAAAAACTAGGAAGGGAAAACATTTCATTCCACCATATTCGCCAATTTTTGCGTCAAGTCCCACCACTGAAAACTAATCCATCTCTGCTAACATAAATGCAAACTGACCAATGCAACTCCGACCAATTTACAAACAGAAAGAAAGCATTTCACACTATTTCCCCCAAATTTTGCCTCGAGTCCCGCCACTGAAAACCCATCACTCAAAACCAATCCATATCCGGCCAAAATCCAGCTAACTGACAAGCGCAACTCCAAGCTGTTTGTAAATAGAAAGTCGACCGTCGCCATTTTCATCAACAATTCCGAAATTTGCATTAAACCTTAATGGCAGACAAAGTATTTTCCTTCTTGGGTTCTAAATTGGTTAGCTAATACATTGGTATCTTAGTTGAAATTTATTCTTAAGTGGTCACATGATTCCAAAAGCAAAATCCTTCGCCTGTTGCCCATAGCAAAATTGTGACGTCTACTGACCTGTGTTTCAAAACTTCAACATAGCGTGATGAATTTCTATTTTTCTAGTTGGTTGTGAGTGAACAACTTGTTAGATATTTTTCATCATTTTGCATGTATTTATTTTTTGTTTTGCGAATGATTTGCCACCCCGACTAATGTTTGCCGCTGCGCAACGGGGATCGACCTGCCGGGTCAGGTCGAGGGGGCAGCCCCCAAAAGAGAATTTTATTTTCAGAAGTTTTTGAATAGGTACATCTGTTCGTTTTTAACAGTCACTTCCAGTAGATGTACGCAAGGATTTCAAGGGACACACCTATTCAAATGGTTGCCTCAATTTCTATAAATTCTGGGCGAATTCTCGTTTGCAAAACACATTAAAAAAATTATTCTTGCTTCTTTCTCTTGGCATCAATCAGTTATTTTCGAGTGTCTTCTTGGTTTGATCAAATTCACAATTTGAATTAAACGTCTCCATTGTATCCTGAGAGAGATTTTCTATCATACCCCAATTGTGACTTTGTTGGATAGAGGAGAAACATCTCTTAAAAGATAACTTTTTTTCGTACCTTAGAGTTCATTAAGTATTCAGATTTCCCTACATTTTACTCAAACGCACCTGGCCTTGAGTTTAAACTTTTCGATGTCATCCCTTAATTTTTCAGAATCAATGTTGAACTTAAAAAACATAACTTAGGACTGTCTTGCTGTGTAAATGTCCACTTACGAAATTAATCTTATGCCAGTAACCCATGTCCTCTCCACTTACAGGTGTTGATCCATTTTTATTTTTCCATTTGTTCTAGGATAAAGGATTTGATTATTTCTATGAATATATCTTTGGACAAGTAGGTTACTTATTTTTGCTGTTAGATTGTTTTGATATCTAAAAATTCGAACAATGATATTTAGATGGTGGAATTAATTTCACAAATTTTGATCGATAAGTAAAATATTTTTTAGCACCACAATTGCTTGGTTCAACCCGAAAATAAATAGAAAAAGATTTGGTGTTAACGAGTACTAATAACTCATTCATCACTCATTTTTATTGTATTCAGGAAAAGAAATTTTGGAAGATGAGAATCATGATTTATTGTTAGAATCTGATAACGAGAATAGTGTGGACAATTTGGACATATTGAACAATGAAAACGTAGGAGGAGACGTTGCGACTCTGCCTAAGGTGAGTATGATGTTTAATGATGAGAAAGAAATGTTGGACTTCTACAAAAGATATGCTTATGTCATAGGCTTTCCAGTTTGGAAAAGGAATTCAAAAAAGGGCGACGATGAAGTTATGAGATATGTGATGTTCACATGTAGATGTGAAGGTCGAAAAAGTTATACTACATACAGTTATTTAAAGCCGCAACCAACAAATCAGACAGATTGTGAAGCAGGAATATTCGCATCTTTAGATAGTCTTGGAACTTAGAGAATTAACAAAGTGTACCTTGACTTCCAAGTCTAGGTTATATCAATGCAACTGAAAATTGAGTACGACAGTAAAACGAAAGCCCTAAATGAATGATATGGCAGAAATTTCCTTACACGGGAGTTATAACTCCGTAGTTGTGGAAACAGGTAAATATGAGAATATGGCTTTTATGGAGAGGGATTGTTGGAATTATGTTGAACAGGTGAGACGATTAGGCCTTGGAGAAGGAGATGGCATTGCAATACAGGTGTACTTTTCAAAGTTGCAAGAATGGTGCTCGTGATTTCACTTCAGTATGGATTTAGACTATGAGTCACGAACCCTTTCCTTTCCCATCACACTTCTAAATTCCTTTTCTCTTGCAAAAAGTCAGGCGCATTAATATGTCCATGTCTCGTTTCTTGCTAATAAGAGCTAGCTTGTCAAAGATTCTTGGCAATTCTTCATCTTCCTCGTTAGGCTCATGATTCATCGCTTCATTAATGAAACTCGATTCCCCACTTAGAACTTCTTCTTTCACCCAGTCGAAATATCCACAATCATTACTATAAGTGTAGAATAATCGCCTTTTGTTATTAATATCCCGTTCGACTTCAAAACATTTTTTATATCCATGTTTACACGAAGGGCATTGACATTTTGTTTGACGTTGTCCAAAGTAGTGAGTGTTGCTTCTGTAACTGTGACAAACTCCCGAATTCCTTCCCCTCATTCTAGTCGATAACTGCTGAACAAACAAATAAACAAACATAAATGCAATTGAATTACAAAATCCCACACCAACCATTATTAGTGTCCAATTACAGTATGCCCTAAACCTTATCATCCAAGTCAAAAGGCATTATCCCATTCGATTGCCGACATTAACCAATCAAAAACAAGATAGTAAAGGAAGAGCTCGATGGCCGACTATAACCAATCAAAACCAATAATTTTGCTAATAAAATAAGACATTAAACAACTCGATTCTCTGTCTACATGAAAACCAAACAAAATCATATTATTGAGGCAATATTATTGAGGGCGAATACAAAAAAATTCAACACATGGGTGATGAAATTTACAAGAAGTAAAAAAGACACACAAAATAATAATAATAATAATAATAATAATAATAATAATAATAAATGTTCGCTATCAAAATCCATGTACAAACCCAGAAAAAACACTTACATTATCCCTAAAGTGTGGCGGTAAAGGAAGGTGAGTGTGATGTTGGGGCTAGAGGTGAATGCATCATCAAGGACTGTTCGTAGGCAAATTGTTCATGTGGACGGAGGTGGGTGCGGTAGTGAAGGAAGGATACTCGCATCGTATGCTCTTTATCGGCGCCTGTCGATGGTGACGATGAGTGCAACGAGGGGAAGAGTGATTTGGGGGAAATGAGAAAGTAAATTTCGTGAGAGGATTTGGAGGGAAAGTTATGCTACAATGACAAAGGAGTGTGACAAAATTGGATGACAAAGTTGGATCTACACCAATCATTTCAAAAATAGATTTTTAAATCATTTGAAATCAGTGGCCTGGATTCTGTCAACACATTTTGTAAAGCCACTTTTGTAACCCAACCTTGTTGAAGTAGAGTTATTGTTGGAGGAAATGGGAGAGACGAACAAAAATTGGGGAATGGGGAAGTAAAATACGATTTTGTTTCAACATCTTTTTCATTTTTTTTTTTTTAGAAAACTCTGCCACGTAATTCAATTTCGAAATCCTGTACCATTTCTATATTGAATTCCTGTACTCGTAGGAAAATCCAAGAATGAATTACGTTAAAAAGTTGAGGACGAATTTATTACATTTCATAAATGTTGAGCACGAAAAACACAAAACTCTCTCTCTCTCTCTCTCTCTCTCTATATATATATATGTCATGGACTCATAATACCATATCATAGTTCGTCTGCCACCACCATTTCATTCCTTCTCCTTCTTCTCTCCCAATCTCTCTCTTATCTCTATACTACGGTAAGAAAACGCTATGAGTGGCGACGAAGAGTGGGTCAAAGCGGCGATGATTGATGATACGATGGTGGTGGAGCTTCTTGTGCGGCTAAATCAATCTCAACGTCCGCCGCCGGAGGCGATTAAGCAGCTTAAGTGGAGCGTCCGTCAACGCCGGTCTAAACCTAAGCCTGCTACCGGTGCCAGCCCCACTACGCCACTGTCATGGAGCGGCGGCGGCGGTACCTCTCTTAGTGGCGGCTGTGGTGACCGTGAAGAATCCAGTCATTCTCCTCCTCTTCCTAAACTCGCACACCATAAGAGATCTAAGGTCTGTACATGTAAAATATGTTCACATACAGATTAAAATATATATTATATATTCTCTACCGGCGGTCGATTACTTTTCCTGCTAACGGTGTTATTCGCCGCCGGAGTATCTTTTTGGTTTTTCCTTCTTCATCAGAGGCTGCTGTCATTTTTAAATGTGTGTGATTTTTTTATTGACGGAATTACCCCTTGAAATCAGGCTTAGCCATATAGGTTTTGTTATTAGCTTGACTAATGCTGTCTAGCACAAGACTAGTCATTTAGGTTTTCTTAAGTTTTTGACTATGAATATTTGTTGACCAGAATAACCTTCCAGATTTCCAAATTTCCATATTTCTACCTTGTTTGGTAAGTTAGATAGTACAATTCTAATCTTCATTTAATTGATTTTATCTTTGGCCTCATGATTATGCGTATTCTTGTCAAACCAAACCTCTGAGGGAGCCAAATGACAAAACAACCCCTATATATTAGAAGGTTAAATGTGTCATTTGACTTCTTGAACAGCCCAATGAAGTTTCAAAGGAAAGTCCAAGTCAAAATTCCCCCCACTAAATTACCACATTAACCTCAATGAAATTGAATGACAGTGAGGGTATAGGGGTATTTTGGTCAATTCAGTTAGTGGTTGCGTGGGGGGTGACGTGGGGGTTGTTATGCCCCCCGTTTAAACGGTGGCGTGTTTTCGTGGCAAGAGAGGTTTGCGTTCAGTTTGGTAGTGTGTTGTAAGTGGTTGTACACTTTGTTAAGAACTTTCGACCTTTATGTTAAGAGGAATAATCTAGTGTAGTAACGACCAATTTATCTTAACTTGCACCTCCAATATCTAGTTATTTTCCATATCCTCTTGTCTTTATCTTCCAACCATCTGATGCCACTTGTACACAACTAATGCGAACATTACGAGGCACCGCACCAACTGTACCAAGTTTTTTTTATCATGTGAATCAATGCACAATAAATATTCTCCAATGGGAAATATTTTAGTAGGTGGGTCGTATATGAACACGTGTTAGTAGAGGGAGTTAGAATGACCGCTTTGGCACAACCTTTCTTTTTTTACCTGGCTAAAGCTTTGTTTACCATGACTTTTGAATATTAAAAGAAGTTTTGAAATTCAAAAGTTGCTTTTGGACTCATTTGACTAAATTTATGAGGATACTTCTTGTAACTAAAAGAACTTTTAGAGGAAACTGGTACAACCCGACTTCTTCTGAAAAATAAGAAACGCTTTTAAAAATTAACTTTCAAATAAAAATTAGGGTAACTTTCTTTAAAACTCTTCTATAGCAAGTAAAAGCAAAAGCAGAAGTCATGTCAAATAGGTCTAAATTTGGAGAATGACTTTTTTTAACACATGTTTAGATAAGTGTTTTGTTTAGAACCAAGCTCCGTTCACAAGGGGTGCACAGACCCTTCATTGTAGGGGGGTCGAGCCCCACAGCAATTAAAAAAAAAAAGTTGGGGCCCACCCCCCCACCTTCTCTCACATCTGGCAAGGACCTGTGAACCACGCCCTTGTACCTCCAGCTTTTTTCGTTTAGTTTATAAACATTTTGGTCGAAAAACACTTTTAGTCAAATAAGCATCTTTATGTTCAAAAGGTGATGATAAGTGCTGTAATTTCTATGCATGACAGACTAATATTAGGTTATTGTTTTATATTCTGCGGATGGGTCCAAGAGAGGAAATCTTCGGTCAAATAAGTGTCAGTTACCTGGGGGCTTGAAAATAAAAAAAAAAAAAAAAAAAAAAAAAAAAAAAGAGATATAAATCGTTTACAAATATAACCGAGTCATTCACTTTACAGTCGTTTTCCTACAGTTACAGCCAATGGTATGTTTAAAGAGTTTGTTACAAAAAATGTGACAGATATAGCATGAATTTAGCTTTGTCCCTAGAAAGGTTGGCGTGGGGGACCATATTTGTCACCCAAGTATTTGTGGAAAAATCTAAATTTTCATTTCCTTTTTTTTTTTAATCTTTTTATCATTTCTTCTCTCTATTTGATGACATGTAACGAAGAATTTATGACAACCATCGTATATCTTGTGCTTACTTGGGTATCTAGGTAGAGGCGGATTTAGGAGGGGGCTGGGCTGGGCTGGGTTGGGCTGTAGCCCCCCCCCCCTCCTCTCAGGCTCAATAGTTTTTTTTTTTAAGGTATTTTTTATTTTATTTTTTGGTAAGAAAATCAGTTTTTTATGTGTAAATTTTTTTTTTTGAGCATAGTAGCCCGATCTTGTATCCAATCCTGGATCCACCCTTGTAGGTAGCTATGTGAAAGTCTGTGTGATTTCATGGGGACCTTAGAAACATGATTCTTGGGATGTCGGTTAAGGTGTAAAACAAAATTCACATTCACCCACTCCCAACTCTATTTTGAGTGAACAGGTATAGCTATAACACGTGAGAAATGTTGTTTGATTACAATAATTTGCCATATTGACAAAATCTTTGGTGGGTGTTGTCCCACTTAAATCCTTCATGGCTTGTTTGTAAGATAGATTACACCAATATTAAGGACGAAAAGAGATGAGATAAAGTCTATCTATTATTCTAATATCTAAAATAATATGTTGTGCCGAACATGCACTTAAGAGGAATATTTTATCAGCAGACAAATGAGATGTGCGACGTCGTGTTAGAGAATTTAAAGCTTTAAATTACTGGATCTTTCATGTTAAATCATCGAGAAATATAAGAATTAAAGCGGAAGCATACTTGAATCAGACATTGTTAATGCAATATGAATTTAGCGGTATGATCTTCCAAATCTACACACAGTCTCCTTTTCCTCTCTGTGATGGGATGCAATAGAGAATGAATAATACGTTGCATGTGATCTGGGGACCATAACCTATTTATATGGGGATGCCCTTTGACCTAATTCGGCCCATCATAGAATTAGGACTTGGGCCCGGTCTCTACACATATATAAATCCATACTTTAACTGGATACATTAAAATCCAAAATCGAAGTTTTATTAGATCACTTTAATTGGGCTCAATCGAATTCGATAGCCTGTAATTTAACACACAATTATTCACACATACAAGCCCATCTTTAATTAAAAATTCTTACAATCTCCCACTTGGGCTATATGTGTCACCTTATAATTGTGCATTAAACATAACCTTATGAGTACTCAGAATTTTGCTATCGTTACCGAATGTATCCCCAAACAATCCCATCCATCAATCATATCAACATAAGATTAAAGCGGCTTTCGCTACTTTCACGTAGCTAAACTCATCAATGGTCACGTATATCAATATAACCGAATGACATAGATCAAGCATGGATGTGTAGCATAAAAATTACATGTAATGTGATCTGTAACATGCCTATTTCCAACTGGTCCACCTTAATATCTTAGTGAGATTATTTTAAACAAGTTTAGAGATAATTAACCAAATAACTTTATAACTGAAAATAACTTTAACTTTAAACCGTATCCAAAATAACAGTACATGTGTCCAATATGAAAAGCAAAAATGCAAACTCCCACTGAAACTAGATATCCTCAAGAGACATTACACCCATATGAGCAGTGTGCTCATGAAAGACTTTGGGTATCAATCCCTTAGTAAGCGGATCCGCAACCATGGAGTTTGTCCCAATATGCTCTATTGACACCTGTCCACTCTGAACTCTTTCTTTAACGGCAAGGAACTTGATCTCTATGTGTTTTGACTTTGTCGAGCTCCTGTTGTTATTGGAATACAGCACTGCTGATTTATTGTCACAAAATATCTTAAGTGGTCTTTCTATATTGTCCACAATACGCAGCCCAGTGACAAAATTACGCAGCCATATTCCATGATTTGATGCCTCATAACACGCTATAAACTCCGCTTCCATAGTGAAAGTAGCTATGAGTGTCTGCTTAGCACTCTTCCATGAAATAGCACCTCCAGCAAGCAGGTAAATATAGCCTGAAGTGGATCTTCTACTATTTTGGCATCCCGCAAAATCGGAATCAGAATAACCGATGATCTCCAACTGATCCAATCTCTTGTATGTGAGCATGTAGTCTTTTGTTCTCTGTAAATACCGCATGACCCGTTTGGCTGCTTTCCAATGATCCATTCTCGGGTTACTTAAATATCTCCCTAGCATCCCAACGATGTACGTTATATCCGGACGCGTACAAACCTGAGCATACATCAGACTCCCTATAGCTGAGGAATAAGGAATCTTCTGTATTTCTTTAATTTTCAAGTCATTTTTAGGGCACTGACTTAAGCTGAACTTGTCTCCTTTAGCCACAGGGGTGTCGCATGGTTTACAATCTTGCATGCCATATCTTTTAAGTACCTTTTCGATTTAGCTCTTTTGTAATAATCCAAGAATACCTCGAGAACGATCTCGGTGTATCTGAATTCCTAATACAAAAGAGGCATCACCAAGATCTTTCATCTCAAAATTCTTTGCTAGAAATCTCTTGATTTCGTGCAATAAGCCTATATCGTTGCTGGCAAGCAATATGTCATCGACATATAAAACCAGAAAAATATACTTGCTCCCACTGAACTTGTGGTATATACAATCATCAACCAAATTCATCTCAAAACCAAATGAGATGATCACCTGATGAAACTTGTAATACCATTGACGAGACGCCTGTTTGAGTCCATAGATGGATTTCTTTAATTTACAAACCATTTGCTTTGCATCGCCCGATACAAAGTTTTCTGGTTGTACCATATAAATTGTTTCATCAATGTCACTATTGAGAAACGCTGTCTTAACATCCATCTGATGTAGCTCAAGATCGAAATGCGCTACCAATGCCATTATAGTCCTGAAAGAGTCTTTCGAAGAAACCGGAGAGAAAGTCTCTTTATAATCGATGCCTTCTTTTTGTGTAAAGCCTTTTGTGACAAGACGAGCCTTATACCTCTCTACATCACCTTTCGAATCCCTCTTGGTCTTAAATATCCATTTGCAACCAATGGGTTTCGCACCTTCAGGCAATGGAACGAGGTCCCATACGTCATTGTCCTTCATGAACTTTATCTCTTCATTCATAGCATCGAGCCACTTTTAAGAGTTAGAACTTTCCATGACTTGACGAAAGTTGATCGAATCATCTTCCACCATTCCAATGTCAACTTCATGTTCTTGAAGAAATACGATGTAATCATTCGAAACCGCACTTCTCCTCTCTCTAGTAGATTTTCTTAATGGCATTGGTTCTTGAGGGTGTAGAGTTTGTTCTTCTGAAACAATTTGTTGATTTTGAGAGGGAGGTATGACATTGTCTTGATCCAGAGTTACTTCTTGAACAATATCAGGGATAGAAACCTGATCATTGTCAATGGCAATTGGAGGAATTTCAACATATTCCTCCTCAAAGACAAAGCCTTTAACACTTTCTCCCCCCGCAAACTCAACATCCTCAAAGAACCTAGCATTTCCTGTCTCGAAAATTGCCTTAGTTGTGGGATCATAAAACTTGTAACCCCTGGACCTTCCAGAATATCCAATGAAATAGCAACTGATGGTCCTTGCGTCCAGTTTCTTTTCATTTGGCTTATAGAGCCTTGCCTCAGTTGGACACCCCCCAAATATGCATATGCTTCAAACTAGGCTTCTTGCCCGTCCAAAACTCATATGGGGTTTTATCAGTAGCCTTAGTTGGAACTCTGTTGAGTATATAAACTGCAGTCTTTAATGCTTCACGCCAGAGAGATTCTGGTAAGGTAGAATGACTAATCATACTCCTCACCATGTCCTTAAACGTTCTGTTTCGTCTTTCAGCAACACCATTCATAGTGGGCGAAGCCGGCATAGTGTACTGTGGGACGATACCGCATTCCTCTAGGAATTTAGCAAACGGTCTTGGACACTGTTCACTTGAACCGTCATATTTGCCATAGTATTCACCCCCACCGTCAGATCTGACGCTTTTAATCCTTTTGCCGAGTTGGTTCTCAACTTCAGCTTTATAGTTTTTGAACACATCCAATGACTGTGATTTTTTATGAATGAGATATATGTAGCCATATCTTGAAAAATCGTCTATGAACGTTATAAAATATTGTTGACCATTCCAAGAACCCGTAGGGAATGGTTCACAAATATCCGTATGTATAAATTCTAAGACGTCCGAAGTCCTATTGGCTTGAAATCTCATTTTATTGGTTTGTTTTCCCTTTATACAGTTGACACACAAATCATATTCTGTGAAATCAAGAGGGTCGAGAATCCTGTCAGACACAAGTCTCTCAATTCTCCTTTTGGAGATGTGACCTAATCTCTTGTACCACAACGAGGCAGAATTCTCGTCATCTAATTTTCGCTTTACACCTCGAGTACCTACATGCAAGGTTGCATTATAAGAAGCAATTGTATCAATTGAATAAATATTATCGTAACCTGATAAAGAACCGAAACCAACCAATTTTGAATCATGAAACAAACTAAATTTTTCATTTCCAAAAGAACAAGTATAACCAAATTTGTCCAAAATAGAAATAGAAATCAAATTTCGTCTAAAAGACGGTACAATAAATGTCTCAACAAGATCCAAATAAAATCTAGTCTTTAACAATAATCTAAATTTTCCTATTGCCTCTACTTCCATTCTATTGCCGTCGCCAGCATAGATGTATCTTTCACCATCACTTGGTTTTTGGCAACTCAGGCAACCCTGCATAGACATACTGATGTGAGTTGTTGCACCAGAATCTATCCACCATGTATGTCTAGGTACCGAAGTTAAATTAACCTCAGAACAAACCAAATGAAGAAGAGTACCTTTCTTTACACGCCATGCGTGGTAATTGGTGCAATTCTTCTTCTTATGACCTGCAGCTCCACAAAAGAAACAACCGCCTTCAGTTGGTTCCTTATGCTGTTTCTTTTGCGGTGCCGTACCTACAGCTTCCTTATTAATCTTTCTTTTCTTGTTACTTTTGTCCTTAGAGGTGGTGGCTAAATGAGCACTTTCTGTCTTTTCATGCTTCAATCTTTCCTTTTCCTCGACACAGTCTGAGATGAGCTCATTGAGGGACCATGAGTCCTTTTGACAGTTATAGCTCACCTTGAATTGACTGAAATGTGCCGGAAGGGATATTAGAACCAAGTGCACTAACAAGTCTTCAGATAAATCCAACTTGAGTGCCTTTAGTTTTGAAGCAATGTGAGACATTTCCATAATGTACTCCCGAATGTTTCCTTTCCCTTTATACCTCATTGAGACAAGATTTGCCAAAAGTGTACTTGTTTTAGCCTATTCATTCTTGGTAAACCTCTTCTCAAGGTCCTCAAGGAAACCTTTAGCCGTAGTCACCTTATCGGACATATTGCTCCGGAATGCTTCTGGAATAGCACACTTCATGACCATTAAGCTTATGCGGTTCGATCGTTCCCACTTTTCCATCTCCCTCTTGTCATCAGAGGTACTCTTATCAGTAAGTGCAGCAGGTTGATCGATCCGTAAAGCAAGGTCTAGGTCCATGACTCCGAGAACAATCATAACGTTCTCTTGTCATGCCCTGAAGTTTGTGCCATTTAACATTGGAATTGAATTGATGCTAGCAGAGATATTAGCAGCAGAACCTGAAACTGAATTAGAGAACATTTATTATGAATAGCTCACATGAATATCTTTAATATACAAATAATAATAATAATAATCTCAAATAGTGGTAGGGCCCATCACAAGATACCAAGCACAATATCAATATCCAGTCTTTGGATAGAGATATTGACTTGTAAGCGGTACTCTTGGCGTAGTGATCAAACATTGACGATAAAACAACGTGTCAATCAATAAACCTTTTTTTGGACCGATTTATTGATCACACATTAAACCAAATAATCGTCATACGTTTATCACCACGGATGCATGTGTATTCGGTTAAATATTGACCTTCCTTTGGGTCGACCAATATTCCCATGAATAACACGTGCACAAACACTTTTTAGCATTCTAAGTTAGTCAATTTTCACAAGAGAGGTTGCTTTGGCAACATGTTGCTTCAATTAACTAATTTTCGAATATTTTATCTCTTAAAAGAGTCTTTAATACCAAAATTTGAGAAAGAGAATCACCAATTTTGCATATTTTGATTAGTTTTAAACTTTAGGGGCCTTAGGATTAATAATTCAAAACTTTAAGGGGGCAAAATTAATTAATTTCAAACTTTAGGGGTTGAAATTAATAACTTGAAACTTTAGGGACCAAAATTAATTAATTAAATACTTTAGAGTATCAATTAAAACAAATTTTAAAACTTTAGGGGCCAAAATTGACCAATTCAAAACTTTAGGGATCAAATTTTAAAAAATTTGAAACTTTAGGGGTCAATTTGAATTAATTATGAACTTAGGGGGCCAATTTGAACTAGTAATTAAAGTTTGAGGGCTTTAATTATAAATTTAGAACTTTAATTGCCCGAATTAATTAATTTTAAAACCTTAGGGACTGAATTATTAAATCCGAAACTTAAAGGCCCAAAGTTTGGGTTTCTCATCTTCAAATTTCACAGATGTAAATATGTTATCTACTCATTATTCATGCTTATTTACAGTAAAATTTAGTTAATAAGTACACCGCATGCTAATTTTTACTTATATTCATTGCAGGTTAATAACATTAGTGAAAAATCGACCATCAAGAGATCAAGAAAGAAGAAGGTGATGATCCTGCTGTTTTTTGAGCTCATTGAGTGCATGCTACATTCACATTTTTAAAATACCCACTTGATATTTTGACGTGTTTTTGATTTCCTAAAACATTAGTTTTTCGTTCAGATTGTTCGAAGTTTCACAAACATTAAATATAAAATGTGTCCTGCTGATATCGTTGTGAAAATTAATTCAAAGAATCTAATATATTTGATAAAATTATCAGCATTATTTTCTGAGTTGTTTCCCGTGTAGGAGAAATATATACTTTAATTAATTCAGAGAATCTTAACTTATTTGGCAAAGTATTCAGCATTATTTTCTGAGTTTATGCCAAAAAATTCAGGATAATGTTGAGAGGCGTACAGGGGGACGTTTTTGTGCAAAAGAAAGAGAGCATGTAAAATTAGCACTTTAGTTGTTACTTTCACGGCTTTTCTTTATACTCTTCTTGGTTTTGATTTGCAGACCTTAACTGAACTGAAAGAAGAAGAGGACTTGCTGCTTAAGGAAAGAAGAGAATTGAAGAGGGTACTTTTCTTCTTCGTGCTTCCACATATATTGATTCACATAAACTTGTAAATTTTCCTACCTTCGAATTGGTGTTAAAACAATCGTCTCTACGCAGGAAATATCAGCATTATGTGTCAATTTGGAGAAACAAAGGGCTACCAATGAAAGCTTGAAGAGAATAAAGGTGCAATTACCTTGGTTCACTCTGATGTCATCATTTTCCAGTATTTCTAGTTGATAAAGAAGTCAAATTAGGCTCCATGATTATTCATTTTTTGATATTAACACATCTGTTAATGTTTGGACAATATAATCCCAGTTAGCATCCTGGAAAAAGTTCAAAGTAATTATCTTTCTTTCGCTAACACTCTAACCTACCACCAATAGACGGCCGACCTACTGCTGCTCGAAAAGGAAACTGCAGTGATCTGGTTTTGTGCTTTGTATCAGTGTATAGTATCTTAACTTCTGTACTTGCAACACCTAGAAATAATGCACGCGACACAGAATTGACACATCGGAACAACTGGTATCATGGTCCTATTAACTTGTTATTTTCTTGATATAATACTTAAAAGAAGAATGGGCAGCCAGCCGAGTGTAGAATAGAATGTGACCCAAATAGCCATGGAAGGATTCTCGAAAAATCTTTATACCTAAAGGATGATGCAATCTAGAGTCTTGTGTTTAAAAGAGTGACGTGATCTTGGTACAAGAAGTTAAAAGATGGAGGGGAAGACTGAAACCAGCATGGCCTCTTATGATTGTTAAGAATCTAATTGCTTTGGATATTCATGTAGAACTAGTAATTGACAGATGAGATGAGTGGGGCGACGAAGCATCTATGTAGCCAACCTCAATTTTATTTAGAATAAGAGTAGCTTTTTGTTGTGGTCGTTGTTATTGTTTTATATTTGTTCTCAATATTGTGTAATTTATAGTGCTTTTTGTGGTGATATGATGATTCGATATTCTGTTCTTGGCACTCGCATGCTTTCTTTTGATTACTCTTTCATCTATGGACATCAACAACCACAAGAAGAATGCTAAACATCAATCAGAAAATAGTAGTTAACAAAATGAAATGTCAAGAATCTTGTCTTGTGCATCTGATGTTTTGTTACAGCCTGAAAAGCTGAAACTGATGTTATTTTGTCTGAATAGATGGAATTGCAACCACTTCCAGAACAAGGAACAACAATTGTATCCGAGGCAACAATTTCTGGTCGAGTTCAGGAAAAGATTGCATCATGTCGTCCTATCCTTCCTATTAAGCCGCCTCCAGTTGTCTCTAACGACGTTGTTGGGCTGCAACTCCCAACGTCTGATGACTCTCCTGAATCGCAGGCAGTTGAAGTTCCCGTGGGTAAATTCATGCTTCCGGATCTTAATATCGGGTTTGACAAGGAATCTGGATGTGAAGTTAGCTAGTTGATCAAGCATAAATACCAGAAAATATCTTCTCCAACCGAGTTAGGACTAATAAAACCAATACCACCTGTACTTAGTAAGGCCTAGTCTTGCTCTCTAGGACCTATTCTTTTCGTTAGTTTCATGAAGTTTCTTTGGGTTAGTGTAAAGATCACGACTCATTAGTTGCAGCCACATTTTTTTCTCACAGCTTTAAACTTGTATAGCATTCCTTCTATTTTCTTTCTGGGAATGTGGGGGGAGTAATCTATCTTGTGCCACTGTTAGTAGATATAGTAAACAGCAAACTGAATCTTATTTCCAATGATTTCAGGATCCTTTGTGTTCACGAAAATATCGTTCGAATTAAAATCATTGTAAGTGTACGGTTCTTTAATAAGTAATAAAGTATATTTGAGTTCAAATATCGTCCAACAAATATTGATCTAATTTGATTTTAAATATTGCGACCTTAACCGAAACAAGAATAAAGTGATGTGTTTGTTTATGACGAAATTATAACCAAAATAAACTTTTTATGCAATTATGAGTAAAATAACCAAGTTAAATGCAAATTGTGTTGAATGCAAATTAATGTGTTCTAATGTATGATAAACGCACTAGGATTACAAATTTTCATGTAATAATCCTTCTTAATCTCAGTTTTACTATTTGACTACACGTTTGAATTTTGACGAATCAGTGTAGTTATTTTATTCAACAATTTCTCTCGAGTAATATTAAACATATTCTCATAAATGATCCGACTATATTTCTATGACGAATGCAAACATAAAAAAATGCATAAATTTTTAACGAACATTTAAAGATTTACATAAAGTATAGCGGTATATCTCTCTTCCCTATCGGATTTTATGATAATTTATACCATGTCAACCCTATTTCCTTTATTTCGAATGCATAAAATAAGTCATCACATTCACACAACTATCATGCAAAATAATTGTACAGAAAAGAAATCATATAAATCATTCAAATTTCAACAATGTATTTTCAATGTCAAACATGTAAAACAAAGAATTAAAAACTCATATTACAAGATTAGTCGTTATCCTAGTATAAAGAAATCTAGCCTAACATATCGTGAAAAAGAAAACAAAAGATATAAAAGTTGTTCATGACCCAAAATCTTGAATTTAATCTTGATGTGTTCTTTGCCTCCTTTTTCATTTGATTCTCCAAACCCTAATTATGTTTTGAGAGTTGGTATTTACAATCTCTCCAAAGAGTCCCAAAAGATCTCTTAAAATCCTGCATATCATAGGCAAAATTGAAATTTCCTTGCTGGAATTAAATTCTAAAGGAAATGAAGTGTTGTTGATTCACTCATAATTTCAATCCTCCTGTGGTCAATTTTTCCTCCTACCTATCGTGCAAAAAATCACTGCTTACGCTTTTCTTTCCAATCCCGAGGTATTTTTAATACACATGGGAGCTTAATAATCATTAAATTGCATTTTTCACATAAAGTGATCAAAATTAGATAGTTGTAAATCTAGAAAGAAGATGGTAAGTCTTTCTCAAAAACATAACGTCAATCTCTAGAGTTCAATCTCAAAATCTTTACCGGGCACATATCACTTCTGATAATCTAAATCTTTTTTTGACATCTTATGTGCAAGACTTTTTCCCATTAAGCTTTTTTAATGACCCATGTAGCAAGTTTTAGATCGATGACTTCAAAGTCAAATGACTATAGGACACTAAGTTTTTAGATACCCTTGTAGACTCAGTGACTCAGGTCAAAAAGGCTATGAAGAGAGTTAGAAGACGTATCACATCCTATTTTTTCCTTCCTTTTTTTTTTTAATGTGAGAATCTAATTTTTATTTTTTTTACATCTTTTGTGCAAAACTTCGTTCCATTTAACTTTCTAAATGACCTCTGTAATAAGCTTTAGATCGATGACTCCTAAGTCAGATGACTATATGACACAAGATTTTAAAGACATTAGTAGGCTTAATCACTCGAGTCATAAAGGCTACGAAAAAAAGTATAAGATATATCACATTTTATTTTGATATGAGATTCTTATTTTAAAAACTGATCAGTGCTTGTTCTAAACTCTTTAACTCAAACTTCTTTAACCAACAATAGAATTCGAGAAATTCAAACCATCAAATTTCTATGAAAACAAATACTAACCTTCCCACTAGGGATGTCAAATGACTCGAGCGGCTCGTCGGTTCGTTAAAACTCGACTTGTGGACAGCTCGGGCTCGTCATTTGATGAGCCCAAGCCTGAGCCGAGCAGGGGGCTCGATCCCACAAGCCGTTTTGACAAGCCCACGAACCGAGCTCATGGGCTCGTCCAAAAAATTAAAATTTTTTTTAAAAAAAAGGTGTTAAAAAAATTTAAAAAAAACACAAGCTCGCGAGCGGCCTGTGGGCTCGGCTCGGCTCAGCTCACGAGCTCGTGTGCCGAGCCGAGCTCACGGTTTAAAGGGCCGAGCCCGGCTCGGCCCATTGCCATCCCTACTTCCCATCCTAAACTACTCTTTAGTAGTTTGGTTCCTTAATAGCCGGCTCGACCAATTGCCATCCCTACTTCCCACCCTAAACTACTCTTTAGTAGTTTGGTTTCTATATTAAGGATTTAGAAACTCACTCAAGTATCGATCAATATCAACAGTTAAATCCACATAGCCAAGTCATACCCCAACACAAGTGATAAGTCAATATGGCTATGCGTTCAAATAATTGAATCTAACATGGATAAATACTCAAGTAAAAGCACATATAATGGTGTTGTCCAATAATCTAGCCAAAACTATACTCAATTCAAACAAATATCATCATACCACGGCAAGTCATTCAAAGTAAACTAGACACTATTTTTTAATTTTTCAAATTTTTGCTAGCCGTTAAACAGTTATATAGACCAATTATCCGTTGAAAAATATATATTTTATATTGTATTTACTTAGACTTTTATTCGTCACATTACCGAAAAAGAAATAAAGGGGATTATTTTTCTTAGGGGTTGATTGATGATTGAGTATTATTTGTTCGTTCTATATGTATCATAATACTTAACCGCCCTTAAAACACAAATATTATATTGTCTCCAATGTAAAAGTAAACAAAATCAAAGTAAAGGAGTAAGGATTAGAAACTCTCTGAGATAGATGTGGATGAGTGGAAAAATCAGGCTGGTTCGGTTGGTAAACTTCATGACTATTGCAACTTTTCGTTGTTGCTAAATTTTAATTTTCTATTCCAAGAATTTAAAATAAATATTAGTGATAACATATAAGATTTAAATATTTGAAATGAATTCACACCAAGAAGAATTCTAATCTTCTATCTTTTAGAAAAACTATCTAACTGAGTGTACATTCCTAAAAATATATATATATAGCTAGGAAAAGATAAATTTTTCAAATTCGTTTAAAGATTGAAATCTAGATGCAACCTTAAAAATGAATATCTGATATCACATCAGTACTCAATATAATGGTAGGATGTTGACGATGAGCCTAAATAAATTGAACTAAATAAATAAGCATGCATAAATTACTAATACAAGTCTTAAAATACTACCTAAAATGTATTAAAAACCATTTGTATGCATGAGTTCCTAAATATGGTCCTAAAATACTAATGCAATCCTTATTTAATCAAGATAAGAGATAAATGATAGAAAAATGGGTTGCCTCCCATTAAGCGCTTAATTTAAAGTTTAGACCTCGACTTTTTCACAAGTGTTTATGGCACTTTGAATATGACTTTGGAGGTCCTACTTAGCTTACTTAATTTGAATTCGTTCCATATTACAACTTTTCTATCACCAAGAAAATTGTAATTAGTTTGTCTGTTGTCTTTGATGAAGAAAATTGTGACTATGGAGTGACAACAACAACAAATTCTGGCAGATTTTGACAGTGAAAATGATAAGAAAAGGCAACAGTCTATTGTAATTCTGCAACTAGCAACTAGTTAAAATGTTTCAGCAAATGTTCGTAGCCCACTTACAACTACAGCTGATGTAGAAGAAGAACGACCCAAGTGTATTAGGAAAAGACCTGCATGGATGATTGAATATGAGGTACCTAACTCAAACGATTATGAAGATTCCCTCACGCATTTTGCTCTATTTTCAGATTGAGATCCTATGGCATTCAAAGATGCTGTAAAAGAATCAAAATGGCTAAGGATGTGGATGTTGAAATTGCTACTATTAAAAGAAACAACAATTAGGAGTTGATAGAGCTTCCAAAAGGGCAAAAGACCATTGCTGTAAAACGTATATACAAGACAAAGCTGAAAGAAAATGGTAAAGTTAATAATTACAATGCACGCTTAGTATCTACAGGCTATAAGCAAGAGTTTGGTGTGGAATATGTAAGTATTATGCCCTAAGTCCAATCAACTTTGGACATAAATACTTTTATATATATAATTAATGCAATTAAATGGCAAATCTATTATTTAATTAATAGATAATTAAATAAGTAATAGAGTCCGTAGATTCAAATCTTTGTAATTTGTTAATTACAAGGAGTTGTGATTGTGAGATACAAATTACATCTGATTGAATCTTAAATCTTCCGTGGTCATAAGTAATAACGAGATACGGATATCGTTATTACGGATAGACCATCACGTGTGGCATTTCTTACTTGTGAAGTAAGTAGCTGATCTCACAAGCTAAAGTGTGGAGACACTTTAATGAACACGTGAATATTTTGTTATAGAACAAAATATTGGAGACCCGTCGAGGGATTCCACATGGATAACTATATGAGTGTCAGTGGTTAATCTCTAACGTTCGGTAGTGGAATTGGTCCTTTGACTTGAGGTCGTCATGGTACCTTATATGAGGATAGTCATACTTTGGCGGTGTTGGATGTTGCTCTGAAAAGGGCCGCTAATACGACATCGTTCGGGTACGTCAAGAATCGTATGAAGGTTGTGATTGATCAATAAAGGATTCGTCACTCTTAGATAGTAAGAGATTATGATCTGCGTTTCATTCAATTAAGTCGATAACGAAATCCTTGGCCAAGGTGTAGTCATAAGTCGAAAATGAGTTTTTAACTTATATTGACTTAATAGTGGAGTGAAAGATATGATCGATGATCGAGATTGACACAATTTCGTATCTCGTAATTGATTGGATTATATTGACGAAGGGATTATAGTTTCACGGTAAACGAACGAATTTGATTTTGTTATACCACGTGACATTTCCCGTCACATGTATTGCCCTAACACATTGCTAGATATCAATCAGGGACGGCGAGTGTGAATTGACGATAAATTAAAAGGGTGTTTTAATTTATCAATTTTGATTAGATCAAAATAATATTTCA